GCACACTCGTCAAAAACAATAAAAGCTTCACAAAAGGAGCGCGCACATTCGTCTTACAAGAACTGCAGGGGGCTTCACGGATGGAGCGCGGGTCGTTTTTAGCATGTGACTGTCGGTTGAGCGCAGCGCGCGTTCGCTGTAAGAGCTTACATATAGTTTTAAAAATTCTCGGTTCCCGGGTTCTCATAGTTCACATCCACAAACTCTGTTCCGGCACTTGAATCGCGGTGTTGAACTGCCAGAAGTGGTTTTCTGGCACGACTCAGCGCCGTTGAAGTCCCAGAAACGACGTTCTGGCATATATCCGGATGCTCAAACCATTCACTCCCAACGGGGTACTTGCCGAAGGAAAATGAATCTTTCAAACAAAGAAAGGAGCCTGAAGCGGGGGGGGGGCAATATCGTTGAAGTGTCTTGTGTTTACACTGGTCCTCCCCCTCCTCTTCCTCCTCCTCCTCCTCCTCCTCCTCCTCCTCCTCCTCCTCCTCCTCCTCCTCCTCCTCCTCCCCCTGTGCGCCTCATTTCGTCGGCACTGGGCACCGGGCGGATGAAAACAACAACGCGCTTCAACCCCGGGCGTTTCTCTTCGCAACCTCGATGGGCCCGACATCTCTGGCAGTGAAAGAGGGACAGGAGATGACGGAGATGCCTCTTTTACGGGCGGCAGTTCCAGGGACCCTGGCGCGGGGCCCCAGTCATTCCCAGGAACTTGATGCCCCGGGGTGACTGGCGGATAGTTCATAGACGGCCGGGCGCTGGGGCCCAAGTTGCCACCGACGTCGGGCAGAGAGAAGGATGCACGTACGCGTTGGTGCACAGGGGCGCATCCCCGATGGGCTCAAATGGCGGTGCGATGGCTGTAACACAGGAGCAAGAGATGACGGAGATGCCTCTTTTACGGTTGGCGGTTCCGAAAAACCCAGCGCAAGGCCCCTGCCACTCCCGGGAACTCGACGCCCCCCCCGCGCAATGGGAGCGAGCCGCCTCGAGGGGGAGGAATGCGAAGCAGCGGGCCCCGGCCCCCCCCAAGCGGGCGCTGCGAGCGTCAGGGGGCTCACCCCCCCTTTGCCGCGGACCCTTTCCACGGTCTGGGCGCCCCCCCTCTGCCAGGCCCCCGAGGGGCTAAGCCGAGGATGGATGCCCACCTCGCCTCGCCTAATTTCCCCCGGTTCTCACGGCGCCGCCGCCCGCGCCCGCGCCGCGCCGCGCGCGTGCAAGAGAATGGCGCGGGCGCGGTCCCGAAGCCCCGCCCGCCCTTCGTAGGGCCCGCCGCGATCGGGGCACCCCCCCCGCCCTGGCCCCCTGCACCCGCCCGCGGCGGACGGATGAGGGCGCGCGAGCAGGAAAGAGGCCCCCGCTATGGCGGCGCCCGCCTGAGGTTGGCGCTTCAGGACTACCCCGCAGGCGCGCCGTGGATCCCGTTGTCGGGCCCCCGCTCCGACGCGTCGCGCGGGGCCCCGACGCCGCCGACGCCCGTCGCAATCTGGCCCCGCCCGTGCGACGCTGTCTGGGGCGCACCCGAGGGGGGCCGTCGCCGCGGCTCCAGTCGCGCGCGTCGCCCACGGCCGCCTTCCGCAGCGGGCGCCCACCCCCCCTCCTCGCCGCGGTCGCCAACTCCTCGACGATCGCGCCGAAGGGGGCTGTCTTCTCATCGGGCGGCGCGTGCTGCGTCAAGTCCGCGGCAGGCGCGCGCACCGCGAGGTGCTCGTCCCAGTCCGTCGTCATCTTGCCGCCGAAGTCGAACGCCCGCGGATCCTCCTCGCGCGGGAGTCACTCCAAGCCAGGCGCCATCTCGAGCGACCGCAGCTCTTCCGAGAGCTCGACGAGGAGGGCCATCAGCGGCCACATGGTCGACATAGCTCTGTGCGCCGCGTAGGCTTCCACCAGGTTGCCCGTCGGCCCCGTCGTCTCGAGGCTCGCCCTCTGGCCGAGCTCCCAGGGCCTCGAGAACAGCTCCACGCGGAGGCTCGTGCCGAGGAGGCCCAGCGCCGCGATGGCCCCGTTCGGGCCATCTGCCTCGGCCCGCGCCGATGGGAACCAGGCCTTCACCACCTCCAACGCGCGGCGGCGGGCTCCTTGGGCGCTGCCGCCCAGCGCCCAGCAGCGCCCCGCCGTTGTCTTCACGTTCGAGCGGAAGTGCCCGGTGCTGTCGGTCTCGAACTGGGCGCTTCCAGTCTCCGCCCTTCTGCCAGCTGCTGGTCGACCCATGTCAGCGCGAGCCTGGTCGCCCAGTGCGCGGAGACCCTCTTCTCGGCGGCCCCTGCGGCGCTGGCGAGCCCAGCGCGCGGGCCCCAGAAGCGGCTTCTCCCAGACGAGGACCATCGCAACGTAGCCCCCGGCGCCCCGTGCCCGACGCCATCTCGCTCGCGTCGATGGCGCCGCGCCCGACCGCCTCTGCCGAGGCACCAGTGCGCCGCCCAGTTTGCCCTCGCCTCCGAGAGGCCCGCGGCGCAGGTGGCGCAGTGGCAGCTGGAGCCCGCCATGATCGCGAAGAGGGCGGCAAATCTCCCTCGGCGCCCTGCGCCTACCGCCTCCAGGTTGTCCGCAAGGGCGAGCCGTTCCACGGGCCAGTCGCTGCCCGGCACGCCGAAGATTGCCCGCGGCACGGCGCCGAACAGCGTGGCCCACCACTCCTGACGAACGAACAACACACACCCATACCCATAAGGGCGGTCGTTGGGAGGAGGACTCGCTATGGGTATGGGTGCGGTTGTCGGACCCTGGGGAACGCTCCCGTTCGAGCGGGGACCCCCATCCGACAACACGCACCCATAGCCCTCTCCGACCCCCCTATGGGTATGGGTGCGTGTTGTTGCTCTGTCAACTCCGAGGCGCTGGAGATGCCGAACGTGCCGACGGTGCTGCACTAGATCGCACTAGATCTCGCCCATGACCTCGCATGCGAGCAAGCCCCACTCGTCTTCGCGGATCTCGATGAACCGACGCGCGCCCTCGACGCCGATGACGATCGAGAAGATGATGACCTCATGCGGTCGGTCTCTGTAGTACCTCAAGAGATAGTTATTCTCTGCGGGCCTCGGCATCCCGTGGCGGCTCCTGCGTCGGACCCGATTGTTAGGGCGACCTCGCGCGCGCCGTAGGCCGCGAGTCGACTCTGCGATCGCCACAGCTGCTGCGGCGTAGCTGCCGCGGGAAAGGTTCCGCAGCTGTTCCGTGGACATCTGGACCATCCTGCCCGACATCACCTCGTCCACAGACTGTTCCAAGAGCTAGTCGCTGCGGTCGTTCACACTTGGCTGATTCTTGGGCGACTCAGCCGGCCGTCGCCTGATAAGGTGCCACAAAGCGGACTCCTCGAAAAGCGCTTGCTGCCGGGGCATCAGGTGCAGGATGCCCTGCTGTGCGGGCGCATGAATCATCGGCGCAGCGTCTCGCCCGCACGCACGAACGACCACACTGTGTTGAATCGCGCGGGGCCCTGGATGCAATCCAGCGCCGGCCCACGGTCTAATGCAGGAGCGCGCCACCCTGAGCGAGGTCGCCTCCACTTCGCCGAGAAATCGGAGCAGGCGAGGCCTCCAGCGAACCCACCCTGTGGCCCCCAACCCGCCGCGACTGTCCTCAGCAGCGGCGCGGAACCTGCGCGCGTAGTGGGCTCCTGCTAGCGCACGGGCCCCTGGCGGGGCAACAGCCTCACGCCGTCCCTGATCAGACACGGCCGAAAGACTCGCCACGGCGTCCTCCAGCATGACTTGCTCGGGGCGGGCGCGGAGAGTTCGTCGCCGCTTTTGCGGCGGTTCTTTGTCCACCAACCGCTTGGTCGACGACTCCCTGCAACGGGATCCGTGATCCGTGCCCCCTCCACACTGCGGCCCGCAGCCGCTGCCACCTGCACGAGCGTTTCCTCGAACCTCGACTCGCCTGCCTGCAGCGCCAAACTGAAGGGGCCCCAGGACACACAAACAAATACACACAAATAAAAACAATCCCCATATTTTCCTATATTTTCTGGGTTTCTGTCTCCCCCCCACTTCCCATATTTTCCGATAATTCTGAAGAGTCGAGGATTAATTGTGTCTGTGTGTTCTTTCCTCTCGTGACAAACGTGAGCCGAGAAGCCCACATCCATGCAGGACCTTGCAGACCCGCATCCCCGCGGCGTCGAGGGCGCACGGCCCCGAGGGCCCCGCATCAGCCTCCAAAGCCGCTGTTCAAAAACGGCCGAGCGCCTGAGCCCCAAGTGGCCACAGACGTCGGGCAGAGAGGAGAATGCACCCACGTGCTGTCACACGGGGGCTAGCATTTGCACCACTCACTTTCTCGCCATCGCTCGGACGTCCATTCCCTGTGTTTTTTTGTTTCGGTTTCGTGCGTGGTTTTTTCGCCGAATGATCAAGGATGCTCCTCGATGGCCCTCGCCGAAGGAAAACATGCACACGTCCGAGCGATGCCAGGCTTTGACAATCGGGGGCAACTTCGGGATCAGGGGCAGCAGAGAAGACTCGGCCACCCGACTCCGCGCGTCGCGCTGATCGGTGAGGTGCCGTCATGCTCGCGCTCTCGCGCGGCCCCTGCCGCGGCGCCCGACCGTGTTCGAGACCCTGCGAAAGGCCCAGGACAACGGCTGCGACGAAAGACAACTTCCCTGACGCTACCCCTGACCGATGTCTCCCTGGTGGCTCCAGGGCCACCACTCGGACCTCCGGCGGCCGCTCGGGACGACCCAGAGCACCCCCCGAGGCCTCTCGGCGGCGAGCAGCTGCGGGACAAAAGGCAGCCCGAGGCTGGCAAGCCGCCGGAACCCTGCGAGCCGATGCGCGAAAGCCCTGGCGCCCGGGGAGAGGGGGGGCGGGACCTCTCGGGCCCACAGCTGGGAGCCGCCGCGGCGCCGGAGGTCTGGGCATCCCCCCCCCCTGGGGGGATGCCCGCCGAGGAGCGGCGGGAGAGGGCCCTGCCATTCGACGACGGGGCCTCGGACGCCGAACGGAGCGCAACGGTCGGCCCGGCGGGGCCCGATACGCGCCGCGCGCACCGCCCGCTCAGGACTTCGAGCCTACCTCGCCGGGAAGGGCGGCCGCGTCGGCGCGGCCAGGGCTAGACGGCTGGCTCTCGTGCTCCGAGGTGTCCTTCGACTCTCTCCCGAGCCGCATCTCGTCGCGCTGGCCCTTCGGGCTGCCGAGGTCGGGGTTTTCGAACACGGGGGCCCTGTTGCCCTCGGCCGCGATGGCCAGCTGGCTCTCCGCACTGGCCTGGTCCTGCAGCCAGGTCATGGCCTGCAGCTCCTCGAGCCACACGCTGTAGTGCTTGCTGAAGTATCCGCCGATGATCGTGATCGGAAGCGCAAGCAGGATGATGCCCACGTAGAACGTGACGAGGCCGAGGCACCTGCCAAACGTCGTCGTCGGATAGACGTCACCGTAGCCCACGGTGGTGGCTGTTGCAAAGAACCACCAGAACGCGTAGGGTATGTCGGTGAACGGCGACACTTCCCATCCGTACCCGGACACGTGCGGCCGGATGTAGGCGCCCTCCGCCGCTCCTGGGGGCACCATGAGGTACCCATCTCGCTGCTCCCCCGCCCTCTCCAGGGGCGCGTTCTGACCAGAAATTCGAAGCGAACCCAGCGGTGGCGACGAGGGCATCCCACGAGGCCCAAAAAGGTAACAACGAGGGAAGTATATCGGCATCAGTACCTTTTCCTGTTTGTGAGCTCCAGAGATAGGGTCGAGCTTGTCCCTGTCGACGGAGTAGTGCTGGCCCTCCGCAAAGACGATGCACGACGAGATCAGCACGCAGGCGAGCAGGGTCATGAAGTTCAGCAGGAACAAGGCGGGCAGCGAGTCGGTGATGATCTGCCCGAACATGGCGACACAGGAGCTGAGCTGAGGCATGCGCAGCACCCTGAAGACCCGCACGAGCCGCAGGATACGGAGCACGGAGGTGGCCCCTGTCCTCAGATATTCTCGAAAATGCCGAAGGCGTTCTCTTCTTTAGTTTCGGAGCCCGACGTCTCTTATCAGTGTTTGGCGCCGTTTCGTTACGTCTTCATGTCCAAGGTCGGCCCCAACCCACCTGCCGCTTTTCTTACAGTGTTCGAATCACTGCCTCAATATATCTTGAGGATTCGCAACGACGCCTGCCTGTCGACCACTTTCTGGGGTGGGGGGGGGACAATAAAAAAAGCCCCCCGCGTTTTGGAGAACAATCAAAACAAGGTCCCTGCGATGCCCACGATCTGGAGATAGAATGGCAGGATGGCCAGCAGGTCGATGATGTTCATCAGCTGGCACGCGTACAAGTACGTGACCTTCCAGCCCGGCATGCCGACGTCGTCCGGGTCCACCTCCAGCCCGCACTCGAAAGGCCTGCACACGTGCACCGTGCAGATGCGCAGGAGGTAGTCGATGGTGAAGATGGATATCCCGACAACCTCGATGTAGTGGAAGATCTCGGGAGGCTGGGGCTCGCAATTCTCAACCGTCTTCTCGTTCTGGCACTCGTCTGGGACCGTGTTGAGGGCGGGCATCGACTCGAGCACAAAGGTCGCCGTGACGATCATGATCACTGCCAGCATCCAGAGGGCGATGACCTTTCCCAGCCTGGACATCTGCGGGCTGTCGAACAAGAAGAAGATCGTCTTCCGTAGTCCCATGTTCTTCTCGGAGCCGGCGGGCAGGAATGGCACCACGGTCCAACTGCTGCCTCGGCTCATGCACCCCTCCTGACTCAGCCTCCTCTGCTGCTCTCTCTCGCGCTGTCGCTCCTTCTCCGCCACTTCCTTGGCGTAGTGCTTGTTGTACACAATCTCCATGTTGCTGCCCAGAACCGAGATTGGCAACGCCAGGAACAGGATGCCCGTGTAGAACGCGAGGACGCCCACGGTCTTGCCCAAGTAGGTCTTCGGCGCGTAGTCGCCGTAGCCCACTGTTGTGAGCGTGACAAGGACCCACCACAGCGCCCTCGGAATCGACTGAAAAGGAGTGATCTCCTCGTCCACTATTCTTTCGTAATTGCCGAAGTCTCCGCTGGAGCCCCAGCGCATGATATTGCGCACGTAAACACCGTCGGGGTGGTCGTTGCCCGCAGCAGTCCATTTAGGAGCCACGGAGTACTGCTGACCCTCTACGTTGTATATCAGGGTGCCGAACACGAGGGCTATCACGAAATTCAGGAACGCGAGAACGAATAGGGGCTTGCCGCTCATGACAATGACCTCCCAAAAGATCTTCACACCAGGGTGGTGCTTTGCAAGCTTGAATATCCGGAGGATGCGCGCCAACCGTAGCACGGCGATAAAGGAGAGCTTGCTGTCGCCTACGGCGATGTCGACGTAGAACGGGAGAATCGCCAAGAAATCGACAACGTTCATTGGCTGCCTCAGGTAATCGCAGGTGCGCCCCAGTGCGGACTTGTACCTCGACGTCTCGAAGCCCGCGTGCGACAAGACGACTCTGATGAAATAGTCAACCGTGAAAATGCTTATGCAGACGGCCTCTATGGAATAGAAATTCGCGTCGGGCTTCGGCTCGCATTCCTCCACGGTGAGCGGCAAGCCAAGATCCTGTAGCTCCTTGCACCGGCTCGGCCTGTGCCTGTACTGCGGCATAGACTCCATCAAAAAAGACACCGTGCTCACCAAGATCGTGAGCACCAGCAGTATCAATATCAGCTTCGACAGCTTCGATGGCGACTGGTCCTCGAAGCACGCGAAGACTCGCTTGCGTAAGCATCCAACCGATGGAGCGGTAAATCCTGGCATATCTCCAATATCCGCGACCCTGCCCTCGGCACGTTGGGGCATGTTAGAGTGCATCGTGTCTGTCTGGCATGGCTTCTGTGTGTACAGACAACCTGATACCGCCACAGAAGTGCTGCACTAGGCTCCAAGACTGGCCTGAGACGAAACACACAACCCTCACACGCCACAACATGGCCCTAAACCCTAAACTGTCCCCAACGCCCCCAAGAAGCGCCGAAGGGTCCATCCTGTTGCATAGCTATAACAAATTAGGAACAATGCGGGGAATACAGAAGCTGTTCAAATCGCGTTTCTCCCCCAACCGGTAAATCCATGGGTGCCTTGGGCAAGCATCAGGCAGCCCCTAGACGGCCCCAGAAGGCCCCAATACACCCCCAGAGCAACCCAAGGCCATCCTCAGAGAGTCCCAAGGCAGTCCAGGTGCCCCTCAGGACGGCACAAAACATACACAAGAGATCTCCAAGAGAGCCCCAAGAAGCAACGAAAAGGCTCCAAGGAGGTGAACCGTACCGAGCCTCTTGGAGAGAGCTCGATCGAACGTCCTGCTCAAAGCCCCCAAAACGTAGCGATGCTTTCCACACGATGCCAAGATGATTTCGACAAGGCCTGTTCTGGAAAGCCCGATTATCCTCGTCCTGCATTGTTCTTGTTGATGCTGCACTGGCACGGTGCCGTTTGCCGCAGGCAGCTGGATACCTGCAAAATCTTCTCA